TATTCTTCAATTCATAAGCAGATTATCAATTAATAGACAAATCGCGAGTCATCTAACCAAATATTTTTTTTATATATAAATTTTACTATAAGCCTAAATGTGCAGTGCTTCTATTTAAAACTTTTTTTACTAAGTAAATCACTTTTGAGCTTATAACAAAAGTTATAAAGCTCATCAAGATACATTTAATAATAAAAGAACATTAAAATCAGTCTGGTGGTTCTTAAAAAATTTTTAAAAAACTTCTTTTTTACATATAAAATTTCTTTAAAAAAAATCAATTTTTTTAAAGAAATTTTATATATAACAGTCACAGAACATATCCATACCGATGATTTTCATATAGATAATTTATGTGTAACATATATTATCATGACTTTTTTAAATAATTCTTCAACTAAATAATAAATAATAATTACTTCAACTTTTAAATAAGTATTCTTTGAGCTTTGTCCTTTCTTTCTATATAAAAAATATACTTACTGTATTTTCGCGTAATAATGCGCAGAGGTGTAATTTCAATTTTTGGTCTAAATTAAGCTTAATTTAGGCCAAAATTCGAAATAACGTCAATGTGCATTATTACACAAAAATACGGTACTTTTTATTTTATATACAATAAAATTGTATTTGAAAATTGCAATTTTTTAACCTAAACTTTAAGATTTTATTTCGAACATTGTATATTAAGGCCTGATCTCTTCATTAATAGTAGCAAATGAAAAGTACTACAAGACTTATTATTAGTATAAGAATGGTTTACTTGTAACTTTTAAATGTTTGCTAGAAGGTATTGTTTTTATAAAGTATATATATAGTATTAATTCAGAATATTCTGTGATTTTACTTTTCAATTACTTTTACTAAACTAGTCAAGAATAGTGTAGCTTTATTTCAATAGCTTGGGTAAGAGTTCTGAATATATTTGTAATAACAAATTATTCACAATCTCAAATATTAGATTTGTAAAAATGGTGAATTACTGTATTGTAAGAACTACGTAAAGACAATATCATGAATAAAAAAAAGTCATTTATATAATTTAAAAAAAATATTTTAATTTCTTTTTATTAATTTGCACAATACAGTAAAGCCTCTATAAGTGCACATACTTGGGGCCAAACTTTACCAATGTGCACTTAGAGAAAAATAAGAAAAAATGCATTATGGAGATTATCTATATAGTTAGGCTCAAATTTAAGCATGCATTTAGAAAAGATGTACACTTACAGAGGGCGCACTTATAGAGGTTTTACAGTATATATTATTTTTGAATATATTTGCGCCAGTTATTATTCTAATATTGCTTAACTCTTTCGATCGTCCAATCTGAAGAAACTGAAGTAAGTTTTGATATTATATTCGTAATTATAGCATCTGTTAATTTTTCATCATTTTTCTATAATTAAGCTAGTATAGTTTTCTCTGCTTCTGTAGTGGTGTGATGCTGTCTTAAAACTTCAGATGATAATACCTGCTCTAATGTAGAAGAACTTCGTTGAACTTGAGTAGAATTGTCTTCTTGGTTTTTTCGTTTTTTCCTAAGCTGAGAGGAGATATATCCCATTTATGATGTTCAGAACTTACTTTAGGTTCAGTTTTATATACATCTTGTGCTAATAGCTGTTGAAAATGTGATTTACCTCTTTTATAGAGAGCAAGAATATTTTTAATTTCATTTTTACTAATTTCTGGTGCATCTTCAAAAAGATAATGGGTTGTAGAATTCGAATGATCAAAGGCAGATAATAATTTTGTAGCCAGAGACCAGAGCGAATTTTTGCGTGACTTAATTGCATAGGCATTTTGGCTTACTACAATATCATCAGTGTATTCTGCAAGAAGCATTAATAATCAATTTCTCTCACTCTAAGCAGCTTTAATTTTTGACATCATAGTCTATTAATCAGTAAGATTACTAACAATATTTTGCTTTATAAACTTCACACTATATATTTCAAGTGCTTCGTCAAAAGCTAAATAATGACCTTTGCTTATAAGATTTACAGAGCAAACAGTTTGTAATAATATCTTAAACTGTGAATCGCTATATACTTGGGCTAAAAAATGTGCGACAGAACTTGCATATTTATATTTTCTGGCAGCAGGAAAAAGAGGTGCAAAGGTGGCCAAATTTGCTATTTGCAATTTATAATCTCCTTTTCTAATTCTGATTTTATGGTCTATGAAATACACCGTCTACCAGAAAAAAAGGTACCATACTTTAATAAGTTATTATTACTACTCAAAATATCTTCCATAGTTTTTTCTTTACTTTTTACATACTGACATAAAGCAATTCCGACTGCGATCCAGATTAATTCTAAAACACGACATGTTATTCGGTAGTCTATTACATGTTCAAACTTGTCAAGGTATTTTACTCCAAGAGTTGTTGCAAGATTATATATCTCATATCCAGAAAATACAGTAATTAATATACTACACATGTTTTTAGATGTGTGCCACTGCCCCAAAATAAGTCATACATCACTATAGACTTCTTTGTAGGAGGTTAATCTTTCAAAAATCACTTGGTTACAAGCAACATATAGATTGTCATTGTTACTAAGTGATAAATCATCATGATATATTTCACACGCTGCATGAACATTATCATCACAATTAGGTTGTTTACCAGATTTTAGTATTACAACATTTGGTGGCAAAATATTAGATTTTATGGGTATCTGTTTTGTGATTTCCAAGTGCATATCTTCTATATCAAATTCATTAATATGAGTTACTAATATTTTATTAAAAGTACTTTCATATATAAACAAAAAACTATCAGTAGTTGAAGACTCTCTGAACAATAGTTGATTAATAAGTTCATGATTTCCTATTAACTAATCCAATGAGGTAGGAAGAGTAAATTGAAATACTATTCGTAATGTTGCATGTGAAGTTTGTCGTACAATGTCAAAAATATTTCCGTATGAGAATGTCGAGGCTTTAAAATCAATATTGTCGATTACTACCAGATTCCAAACGTTTGGTCCTTTAATCAAGAATTTTCTAGAGTCTGCTTGATCCATTCTTGACTTTTCAAGATGATTTTCATGACATTTAATATATGATACAACATATGATAAACAAAGAATTTCTTGTAGATATGGTAGTAATTTCGGTTTTTGACATAACGATAATATGATATGCGAAAGCCAGATTTTAACTCCAGGAAAAGCCATAGTAAGTAATATTGAAGTTATTAAAGCAATAGTTTTGAATATTTGATCTGTACTAAATAATCTTTGTAGAAGTCCACGTTGCTGTCTTTTAGTATTAACAACTATTTGTCTATGTTGTTGTATTACTGTAAGAAGAGCTTAGAAGAAGCTGCAAAGAATATTAGGCAGCGTATTGTAGTAGTCTTCATATGAACTTGAATCTTCTAATTGTTTAATGTTTTTCTTAATTTTAAAACGTATATATAGAACTTCTCTCTCTAATTTTTCTCCCATCGACAAGGCCTTTTCCTAAGTTATACGATATTTTTTTTTGGCTAACATATTCAATTCAACTTTACCTATTTTTAGTACTGTTTTAACACGTATCATGCTTGAAAGTTTTTTCGTATTTTTGTTTTTGTCTTTCGTATCTTGTTCTGACAAATTTTTGTCTTGTTCTGATGAATTTTTGTCCTTTGTATCTTGTTCTGATAAATCTTTGCCTTTTGATTTATTGTTAAAAATAGATATTGATGGTGATATTAGAACAGAAGACTTTTCTGCAGTTTATGATTCCCTGACTTCACCACCACTATTACTCATTTTTTAATAAGTTTTAAAGCATTACTTATATCATCATGGTGCTTTCTACTTTCAGTACACAATACTGGTTTTTTGGGTTTACCTGGTCTTTTGTACAAGTGTCCACCATGTTGTTGAAAACATGCTGAGCAAATATATCATACACAGTGACCTGAAAAAGATTTCTTTACAATAGATCCCTTAATAAATGCAGAGCATTTAAAAACACCAATACAAGGTACTTGAATATTACGCTCATTAACACTCCACGAATGTGCTGGACAGCTATCACCATGGCTAAAAAAATATTTTGTTTTATTACAGAAAAGGCAAAACTGAAAATGAAAATTACTTTGTTCAATTGAACGCAATTGTTTCATGCCTTTTTCATGAAGTTGATTTTGATCAAATTGGAAGTGAGAATAGCATACTCCAAGTTGGTAAGGATTATTTTTAAAAGTTTTAGCTACATGGGCATCTATCTTCCATGTTCCTATCATTTGTTGTAATCAGCATAGATCTACTATACTGTTACAACACTTTATTTCACTATCAATTTTATCGATATCGATAATTATACATGGCATTAAGTTAGAATTTGGCATAGAAATTACTTAAATTTCTACATCAGTTTCATTATCCAAAGATTCACTATAAAGGTTAGAATCTTTAGATCCAATTTCATCCAAATCAATAGTATCCTCATTTTCATCATAATTTAAAAGTACACAAGCATTTTTGAGGGCAATCTAATTAACAAGAAAAATATTTTCTTTATTTTCTTCAGAAGCATCACCTTCAGAATCTATATGAGAAGCATGTTCAGAATTTGTATGAGAAACAAATTCAGAATCTATATAAGAAGCAAATCCAGTATCCATATAAGAAGCCAATTCAGAATAGAAAGCAAATTCAGAATCAGCCATTTTATTAAGTATAATATTTTAATTAAGTGATTTGGATTGTATTTTATTATAACGAATTGAAAATATTATTAAATTTTTTGATTTTTTAAGCACTGATGTCTCGAGAAATAAGACTATTCATATATTTTTTTTTGAATTTTATGTCACTTTTATATATATTGGCTAATTAATTACGTCTTAGATTTTTGTAACAGATAAATAGTTTTTATCAAGATGAAATGTTTTCAAGACACTTTCATCAATAAAATTTCACAGAAGAAACATTTTTAATAATATTTGTAAAAAAAGACAATACTTTTTCTTATCAATTCAATTACTTTTGTATCAATTAAAGAAAATACTTAATTGTTTCAATTCAATTACTTTTGTATCAATTACAAACAAAAATTAATAAAGTATTGTTTTCATCAACTATGTTTAGTGAATACCAAGTTATGAACAATTCATCTTAATTTTGAGCAAGTTTTGGATGAGTTTTAGGTTTCAGCTTTTGGTATAGTTTCGAGCTCAAATGTTTCGAGCATTTTGCAGATCAGTATAGCACAGACTGAATTTTAAAATTCGTACCATACTGATTTAGTATTATATATATTAGCATTAGAGAAGATCATAGCTAATCAGTATGGTATGAATTTTAATTTTGGCCTGTTCTACACTGATCTGCTTATCTATACTATAATGATCTTCTGTAATTTCGATATTTCGCATAGTGATTTATTTTGCGACATGTACAGAATGCGTATAATTTATAGCGAAGATTATGATTCTCAGTGCTATTTTAATTTCAATGACTTAAAATATATTACCTCAACCAAATTATGGTATAATATGTTCATACTTGTATTTTCTATATCTTAAGGAAATATGTGTATTTTCAGAATAATTACGTATCAAATACATACGAATATAGCATGGATGCACATCGAATTATTTTTATTTATATATAAATAAGACACTACTGAATTTATAAAGCAGTTTTGGTTTGGTCAACTCGAAGCTTGCTGAGTAAAATATTTTCAATCAATAAATTGAATACTAGAAATATTTTTTTATTATGATTATAACAATAAAATATATATTGGTTAACAAGCAATAAAACTACATGTGCTATGAATTTAATAATAAATTATATAAAAATTCTATGGCTATCCTATAACTATCCTGCAGTTGTCTCATAATTGTCTATATAAATTATAAAACAAACAAAAATTTCCGTATTATCCTGTAGTTGTCCTTATTGTTCCAATGTTATTCATATATTTGTGTAATAAGTTGCTGCATATTATAAATAACTTTATGATCTAAAAACCGTCAGCGAAATGACTAGTTATACTCAGTAAAAATGAAAATTAAATCAGTAACAATACAAAATGGCTGATAGGTATCTTTTAATGCAAAACATAAACAAGATATTTATTCAAATGAATTATGTCCCTACTTGCCTATTTCTTCTATTCTTTAATTAACTTCATGATTATTTTACTAGCAAAACTATATAGTCAACTCTTTCTATACCGAACTTTAGATTCTGACCAAAAAAAAAGTTTGTTATATAGAATTACTATGTTTTCTTAAGAACGATAGCTCTTGTTATACTAAACTAATAATAAATTTTAAATATTTTGAGTTCACTATATCCAGAATTTGTTATAAAAGAGTTCATTATATCCAGAGTTAACTGTATTTCTTTCAAACCTGAAGATTCAAAAATAAATAAGCTAATGTTAGACTAGATTAGCCAGGCTGATTCTATCTAAGACAATATTTCTCTGTGAGGTAAATTCAAACCTCTAAATTCATTTTTAGTTGGAATTAATTAAACAAAAAAACAATTTATTTTACTATGCAAACCAAACCTGAACAGCCAAAATCATCTCAAAAAAAGGTTTAAAGTTCAAATCGAAACCTCAAGAATTGGCCAGAAAGCATATTTCAGTTAATCTGAAAAGTTGTT